CGTGTGGGTGAGGACCACCCCAGTCAGCGTCGTACTGCAGCCATTGTCCACCTCTTGCTCTCCTCCTGTCTTAGCTGGAGTTTCTATTGCTGCGAAGACCATGCCAAGTCCTATAAAGGAAGGCATTTCATTGGGGTTGGCATACAGTTTGGAGGTTTGGTCCACTATTGTCATGGCCAGAGGCATGGCATGCAGGCAGACATGGTGCTGGAGAAGGAGCTGAGAGTTCTAAATCTGGGTCTGTAGGCAGCAGGGAGAGGACTGTGAGCCATTAGGCCTGGTTTTGACCTTGTTGGTATAAGGTTCTTTTGAAATGTGAACACCTTGTTCATTCAAATGTTCATTTCTCTCCCCCACTCTCTGGTTTCAATCCGGACATTGCACTGTGATACTTTTTCTAAGCATCACCTGTCTCAACTTTGTGTAAACATGCCAAAATAAAGCAACTAGGCACAATGTTGAACAATAGAGAGGAAGGAGTAGGTGGGAGAGGGGAGGAGCCAGAGGGCAGGAAAGAATGGGAGGAAAAGGGCAAGAGAGCTGTGAGAACAGAGGCAGGAGGAAAGATCTTGGAACTACATGGAGAGATGGACTGGACCTAATATATCACTAAAAGCAAGTATAATGTGGGAAATCTAAATGTTAGGAAACTATGAGGGCTTGGAGGTTTAGGATGGAGTAACTATTGCCCAGGATTGTGTTCTCGGTTAATTAAATAAATCATAGTCTCTGTGTGGTGATTTGTTTATACAGCTGTTTAGGATTAACAACAGCTTTACCAGAAGATATATCAATAGTAAATATTAATAGTCACTTACAACAGCTCTCAAAGTTCACTCCCAGTGACACACCTCCTCTAAAAAAGCCACACCTACCCCAACAAGGCCACACCATTTAACAGTGCCACTCCTTACAGGCCAAGCATTCACACACATGAGTCTGTGGAGGCCTTTCCTATTCAAACCACCATACCTCTTCTTTAACTTTTTCAGAAATACTCTGAATTGTTTACTTACCTTGTTTATATTCTACCTCACTATAAATGTAATCTCCTGGAGAGGCAGTGACCTTCCAGTACTTTTATTCAGGCACCTAAAACAATACCTTACACACGGTCAGCAGACAGTGACAGAATAAACAAACGTGTGAATTAGTGAGGGTGAAGACCATGTCTGCTCTTATTTGCCATTCTATTATTTCCAGTGTACTGCCTGGCACAGTGCTCAGTAAATACCTGCTGAGCGAAATGGGTAAAATGGAGAAATTGGATTGTGGTGAACAATAAAACATAAGAATAAAATTTAATAGTAGAGGCGCAAGGGAAACGACTCATCATTCCTATCCAGTCGTTGCTGATGGTGAGGTCATCATGGAGTTACTTCTTTCGGAAAAAGGCTCTCAGTTTGTAGCCATGGCTGGCCTGAAACACTTTATAGAGACCAGGCTGGCCTCAAACTCACATCGACCCACCTGCCTTCGCCTCCCAAGCACTGGGATTAAAGGCGTGGATCACCATGACCATCTCTACCTCCCCCACAGTCCCTCCCCCTGCACTTTCTTTTTGAGGCAGGGTTTCCTCTAGTCCGGATTAGAAAGAGCTTGAGTTCAAGGCCAGCCTAAATTGGAAACAAAGCAAGACTGTATCTTAGAAAAGAAAAGGCTAGACATGTAGCTCAGTGTCAGGGTGCTTGCCTGATGTTTAATTTTTAGTACCACAGATAAAAGAGAAGCTGACCTAGAAAGTACTTTGCGGCACTGGAGATGTTTGGTGGGAGATCACTTGCCGAGCATCTACAAGACCCTAGCTTCAGTCCCCGGGGCGGCCTGAGCATTAATAAATAAATAGATACGGCCACCGAAGCTAGAGCTCCGAAAGCAGCAGGAATGCTGAATCATTCAGCTCCTGGGAGACAAGCGCTAACATGCCCCGCCTTTCCGGGTCAAACTCACTTTCTCCATTTCTGGTTATGAGCTCATAACTATCTTTTTCTTTCTTTCTTTCTTTCTTTCTTTCTTTCTTTCTTTCTTTCTTTCTTTCTTTCTTTCTTTCTTTCTTTCTTTCTTTTTTCCCCCCTTGAGTTGGTTGCTGATTCTGACCTGAGGGTGGCCAGAGAACTTAACTGTCATTAGTAGACCTGGCTTCATACAGCAGCTCACCACCAAAACACGCTCATCTCGTCATGATCTCCTACACTCTGGCTCTAACTGCACAAAAGCCTTGTTTAACTTTACAGTTACAAGCCTCACACTTTAGACTTTACCTGAAGGCCTACTATGTACCAGATATGGAACGAATACTCGAAGACTCCTCGACGGGGGGGGGGGGGGGGGGATAGAAGCCTGTACACACAGCTAAGTTACGGTGAAAACCCAGTGGGGGCTACCCTGACGTTGTTTGGTAGCAGGTGGAAGATACCTCCATGGGGCTAGGGCAGGGAGCTTTGGGAAAGACTCCAGGAGACACCAGTGGCTTGAGCTAGATTTGAGGGATATTTGGGATGCTACCATCTGGGAGGAACCAGATGGGCACCTCAGACTGACAACAGGGAAGCCATCATGGACTAACGCATGAAAAGACCGAAGAATGTACCGAGTATGGCTGCAATTCCCAGCTGCTGTTGTGTGCATAATTACCTCCCAGATGCTTACGAGAATTCATTAGTGAGAAGAACCTACCACAAGCCACTCGCTCCTGTGCAAGTACCTACTCTGTATGACTATGTTTTCACTGTTGTTATTAGTTATACGCAGTTTGACACTTGTATTTAGGAAAATAAGCACTTACTGAATGGCTAAAGAATTTGCAGATTCTGAAAGGTCTTTAGGATTTTCCTAACGTGAAGCCGGCAGAGCGTAAAGGGGTATGATTTCCGTAGGACTACTTCAGTCACCTGAAGGTCGTTGCTTTTTCCTCACAAGCCCTCACCCCATCCAAATCTGGGTTGGTTAGGGTGGATCACTGAAGGGAAAGTAACCACCACGGAGCCAGGTGTGGTGGCACACACTTTAGTCCCAGCCCTTTGTGGGTGGAGGGCAGAGGCAAGCAGATCTCTGGGAGTTGAGGTCAGCCTGGTCTACATAGCAAGCTGCAGGCCAGCCAAGGCTACCTAGTAAGACCCTGTCTCAAAAAGGAAAAATAAATAAATAAATCAAAAAGCCAAAAAATAAACAATGAAAACCTGTCTTCAATTTCTCCATCCATCCAGAAAGTATCTATATAGATTTTCCTGTAGCTAAAAGGAAATAACTGGTTTGTGAATACAGATACTTTCCCACATGAATTCCACTTAATTGTTTAAGTGCTTTCTGAATCACTATGATTTAACTTTCACTTTCCTTACAGTTGATTGTTTGAAATGGAGTTTTAGATACCCAGTGAGCATTTTCAGAATTGCTGATGGGCATATAAAGACTGAAGAACGATTAGAAAATCTGACTACTGTATCTCAAAAAAAACGACATCTCCACAATCTGAAAAACAAGCAAGCAAACTCATTGGGTAGTGGAAAGATGTGTAAGTGAATGACTTAGTTTACATCGCCAAAAGATGACTGATCGTTCTACTTAAATATGGTAGCAAAAGCATGGACTTTTCAAACTTGGAGAACCTCAACTCTATAAGACACACAATTCAAAGGGATGGGGGCTGGAGAGACGGCTCAGCGGTTAAGCGCACTGGCTGCTCTTGTAGAGGACCCATGATGCGTTCTCAGAACCCACATGGTGGCTCACAACTGCCTGTAGCTTCAGTTCCAAGGGGTTACGACGCCTCCCTCTGGCGTCTGCGCGCACTGCATGTACATGGTAGACAGACGTATATGGAGACAAAACACCCACACAGATAAAACTGTGAGACGCAAAATGTAACAAAACCCTAATATCAAAGTCAAAGTGATAAGCACAAATCGAAGCCAAGACTCTTGGGAACAGGAAAGCTGGAAGAAGAAACCAGTACTTCAAGAATGTAGTTCACTGCTGACCACTCAAGAGGGTTTTAGCAATCGGGACTTGGGACATGCTAGTCTTTCGCGTACACTCCTCCAAAAGTAGATGCAATCTGATCCTACATATGGAAGACTTAAATACACTGACGGATCAGCAATGCACAACTGAGCTGTTTCACTTAGGGACACGCACTCAAAACCTCACTTGTAAGCAGTCTGTTCGGAATCCCTTCCCTTACTGAGGGACTCCAGCTGAACCAGATCAAGATATGTAACAGCATTCTAAGAAGCATCCAAGAGGGTCAAACCCTCTTCAGCCCTGGACCCCCTGAAATAGCTGGAAACTGAGGGCTTGCTGAGAACACAGAATGTAAGCCATTGAATTTGAGCTTCCAAAGTCATGGACAGCTTATGCAAAACAGGCATGCACTGAAGAAAATAAAAATATCTGAAAACGACGCAGTTAGGTAGAAATCAGAGATGATAACCACGTCTTAACACCCAATATCCCCCTGGACCAGGCACTGAAAGGATGTGTAAGGTCTGGAGGGCGTGTACTTGATCTGGGAATCAGAATTTAACGCGCTATGGAGGGAGGACGAATTAATGAGAATCATCAATCGTCTCTCCTCGCCGCTGACACTCCAGAGACAATCTCAATCTTTCTGGGCTGTCTTCCATAATTAGGCGCCCACTTTGAGAACAGTGTTCTGCCTGGGGGCGTTCATCCGTGGTGCACGCATAGTTCTGGAAAAGTTTCCCAAACATCTGCCCTAAGAGCAATTTTGTGGATTCTGGGTTGGCTCCTTACGTTTCGGAGTCCAGCCTGGCAGGGCACCCGTGCTGGGAGAATCTACAATTTGAGGTCTGGTGTCTTTAGCTTCAGATGAACGTGGATGCCCCACTAACCCGTCTCCTAAGTGAATTAAGCATCTTCTTCACTCTTGACCTCAGGATGCTGCAAAGAGGGGGTACCTCGGAGGAGGGCTCCATGCGGAGGAGCCGCTGGCTCACGGGATCCCGGCGTTCCTCCCGCCCTTCTGGGACTGAGCTCACCTAGGTGGCCGCCGACGACGGTGACGGCGATCTGGTCCAGGAACACCGCCCGGAAGCGCACGTCCTGCTCGGAGCAGCGCTGGCGAAGCGCGCGCAGGATCTGCACCTGCGGGTAGTCCTCGCGGATGAGCCGGTCGGTCAGCAGCCAGACCTGCGCGCACATGGCGACGGAGGCGGCAGCCGCCCGCCCGCGCGACCCCCTGGCGCGTCCCGGGCGAGCACCGCGGCTCCGCTCGCGCCGCGCGCCAGGCGCCTCT